AGTTGAGACTTACAAGAAGTTATAATGGTTGGACTGGATGATCTTAAAGGTCTTTTCCAACCTAAATGATTCTATGATTCCATACTTAAACATAATGAAAACTGAGATTATATTACAATGTTCACACATGTATAAATTGTATTTACTAAATCTACTGTGAATTCTGGGTTAGTTAGCAAGTTCAGGAGGGTTCACTACTAATAACGTTCTCAATGTTATAATTTATGGATGCTTTGAGTCATAAATCTACATTGCCATATGTAATGGAATGAAGTCTTGGCTCTGATAACGTCAATGGCAAACTTGGACATTTTCCCCTTTTTTTTTTTAGTGAGGCTCTCATAGCCACTCCACCCTCAAAGTCCAGATCCTGCTACCACATTCAGAAAATGGTTCAAAAAAGCATTCAGTTCCTTTTGCATTGCCTCAGACTTGCTTCCAGTGTACAGCTGAATTTTATGTTTGAGGTTAGCTTCTACTAATTCCTATTCAAACTAAGTTCAAGCATTTCTCTGACAGCAACGGCGTAAAAAGGTTGGTATGAGAGTAGACCTGTACCCCTATTTTTCTGAAACTGTTGCACTGGCACAATCAGCTCAGAGAATGACTAGGGAAGAAGCAAGGGCTGAAATGTTTCCCTTCTTGTACCGATCTATGGTCTGTATGAATAGCAGAGTAGGCATAATTTTCATACCACGCTCCCAAACATGGGACAGTCTAGGATATGTCATGTGTATGTGATACTATGTCAGACCAGCCAGAGTGGTTGCTGAAACTGCTCTCTCCTGCCCAGCTGGGACTTCTGGACCTCTGTAGCCACAGAATGTTGCCCCTAACAGCCTGCAACATCCCCTTTCCTGGCAGCGTACGCAGAACTGGTCAGGAGTTCACCTTAAAAGGAACCAAGAACAAACATAAGCACATTGGCAAGTCTTCTGTAAATGCCCTCTGTGTGAGCAGGTTTGTAAAAGTATCACTTGCTCCCAAATAGTAAGTTTTTAAAGTTCATGGCATGCAAAAGGAGGCTAAGTTTTACAATACCTTACAGTAAGCTTTAGCACAAAGCTATTTATAGGGGATTCAGATTTGGCTAAGACTGACTCTGTACAGAATAATTAACAGCTCTAGGGAAGGAGGATGAAAACAGCTATACCCAGTCCCTGAATTCCCAGGCATAAGTCATCTCTGTTTCTCAGAAGCTGTTATTGTCTGAAAACAGCATACGTACAAAGCTGTACGTGTAAAATATTTAGCATATTTTAAAGGCCTGTATGCATAAACATGCTCATATAGTTAAAATATTTACACATAATTTTATATTAAGGCTTTCTTTCTAGTCTACTTTGTGTATAACTTTTGATTTTTTTCATTCCTTATTATCTTATATGTAATATATTACAATGTATATAAACAGGTCTGAGCACAAGAGGGAAAGAAAGTTGCAACATGCCCAAACTAATACCTGTCCAGAAACTGTCATTACAATAATAGGATGAGAGCATTCTCCCCTCGAAACTGCAGTGAATGAAACCTCCTGGATCATGAGCTTCATCTCTTTTTTCCTGAATCTACCACAGACACATATATGAATATGATCCAAAATATGAAGATTTTCTTTTTCATTTATACATGTGCATCAATGGCAGTTTCATTTCTTAAAAGTAACAGTTAAATGTGGAATGATGGCCTGGTTTAACACTCCTAGCATCTCCAAAACTCACACTGAAAAACCGAAATGTCTCTGGCACATTTAGATTGGTCATTCCAGAGGCAATGAAAGCTCATTTCAAAAACTTATCACATACATACATGCCTACATGAAACTCTTAAGAGGAAAGCAGGACCTTTTATATTTACATCTGAGTTACACACCTTGATCCTAAGCATAGAAATAAAAATGTAAGATTACAATAGATAAACAGTTTTCTGTTGGAAAACCTGGTTCATGGAAATCGATAGATTTCATTCATAAAAATGTGCCTTCTTCATTAAAATGTGACAGAAATGTTTTAAAATTAAACTAAATCATAAAGCGATTTAGGAGATTCAAAACAGAAAGCTCCATATATTCCTTTAGCATACTCATTTGTGATGGTAGAAAAGAATAAACCAGTGTTGAAACTTTATGTACTTTCTAAAACTTGATAGGCAATTTAGAGGAATTGGACTAGTTTGAAGTTGGAGACATAATGGGAAAATATTTTGAAATCTCAGGGGGTGGGTAAAGGAGATAATCTAACAAATGAAAGGCTGATTACAGCTCTTGGAGATATACATTATATGTAAAAATGAATCTTCCACTGAATGCTAAAACTTCATGGTTTTCCAATTCATGCAATTTTTTCTTTTACTCAGTTCAATAAAAAATGTTCATCTTGCAGACAGCCAAAGCTAGAAGAATAACATTTCCCATCAGCATTAACTTTCCCCTTATCTTTGAGATGTTTACCTAGTCTTGAAGCTGTGACATATGGGAATTTCACACCTAGTGAATATATTTTCATGTAGCTTGTGGCACAGGAGTGTAATCATTAAAAGAATATACACAAGTAAGAGTAACTGCAACAGCTGGTGACATTTACCAATTAGAATTACAGTTCTTTAAAACACTTCATCCTTCTTTAATGTGTGCAGGATAATTATCTTTGAAAATTGCTGTTGAAAAAAAAAATTAATTTTCCTTTTAAACAGTGTCTGCCTACAGTAGAAATAGTCTGCGTAAGGAAGTTACCAATACTCCAACAGTATGACTCCCCGTTTTAAAAACTCACCCAAATCATTGCAAGCTAACCATCTCGGCTCATGGTGGGCAAAACACACATTAAACATTGAATGAACCAATAGCATACCAAATACTTCATTATCTCCCCATATTGCACGCATTGAATTTATTTGTTTTCTCTAAACACGTGAAAGAAGAGAAGAAAGCTATTATAAGCATCAAAACAGGCTTAGTGTTATATATTTCAAATTCTAACTTTTTTTTAAAAGCGGGATTATGTATTAGATGAGAACCTCTGATTACATGATCCTATCATTCCCCTACTATTTTGGATTATTAAACTTCAGAAAAATCCTAGGCTAATGTAGAATAAAAAAAACCCCAAACAGTGAAGCAATTAGATGTACCTTAAAAGACAAATTAATAGAAACTGAGACATATTTTAAGTAACTGTCACAGGGGGCATTGCATTACTAACATCGGACAGACTTAAGCAACTCAATCTCCACTTCTATACCCAAAATAAAAAATTCTGCTCCTCTGAATCTCTGGCAGAACATCTGCCTAAGTTAATGGGACAGAGTTATTTGCACAGCTTTGGGAGAAGAATTTAACCTGGTATATTTATCTGGATAAGTATAAAAAAAGGTATTCTGTCTGAAAACTTCCCCAAGTAAAAAACTGTTTTTATATGATAGATAAAAAAGTTATTGAAGGTTTGTTTTATTCAGAACAGCAGACAAGATGTTTTGCCTATCTGAAAATGAAAGAGAACCAAACAAAGAGATGAATGGAGAAACTGGAAACACAAAGACATCAAATAAAATACCAGGAAATGAAGAGTTGTAAATAGGGTTACTTTGTCACTGGTTACACAAGTAACTGAATACACTGGCGAGTGAATGAGTTTAAACAAGGGTGTAGGCTTCAGCACATTCTTTTTTAGGGTTAATCACTAGTTAACCTGGCAAGATGAACATGCTGTTTGGGAAAAAAAAAAAAAAATCCTTGTTAATTATATACTGCAAGTGCTCTTACTTCCTGCTGCTGCACCTAATCCCACAGGTGCAGGTTGTCTCTTTTACTATTCACTGGTAGGTGGGTCCAGATAGACAGGCACTTTTTCATAGCAACGAATTCAGATAAAGAAGAAACAGCTTAACTTTGCCCCTTTAAACAGGAAAACACTATCATAGTGTCTATTTAACAAGGAGGCTAATGTTCAAATACATTATTCCAGTTTCCACGATGATGCAGAAGCTGTATTATGATTGACACACATCGCTCCCACTGGCAAAATTTGCCTGAGGCACCTAGTCAAAAGTAATGCTGCATTGCCTTGATTTCCAGGCGTTCAAATATTTTGCAGCTGAAAGGTTTGCAACAAGCTTAATACTGCCATTAATATTAGGCTTTCCATCCAGCAGAGAGACACCTAAGTTTCTGCACAGCTTTTTGCAATGCAACAGTTTGTCACAAATCTCAATAAAATCTGTGTACATTTGTAAATACTTGAGTTATGTTTATTCTCACTTTGGCATTTGTCACAGAAAATTTCTTAGCATCAGAAAGTATTAAACAAACTTGTATTCTTGATATTACCAAGAAAAAAATCTAGTTTTACCTAGTTGCTATCCTGTCAAAGCATTAATTTTTCAAAGATGAGAACAGATGTTAGAGACTAACTATATAATAACAAACTTCATCCCATTTTGTGTTTGCTTTCCTCTCCGCCCCCTTCCCCTCCCCTGCATCCTGGAGGGAGACGTTTTAACTACAGCGTGGATGTAACAATGAAATGAAAAGGAGTGATGAGCTGGAGGGGGCTATTGTGAGAAACACAGGAGCTCCTTATTCAGTGTCCACGACCAAATGAAGGAGCACGTTGGAAAATTTCCCTGCCTGGAATTTCTCCTCTATATTCTGCAAGGCTCATCACTTGGGCTTTGGAATGACAGAATTAAAATACCGTTAAAATATTTTTGGAATAGAAACTACTTGTACTCATGACAAGATCCTCGCTCCCTTCATTTCTTTCAAATCAAAATACGTAAGTCAGGCAGGAAGATGGATCACTTGTATAATCGGTCTATTATAAAGGTAACATTTTATTCTCACACGGTTATGAAAGATAGTATTTTGCTGAAGTGGAAAAATACAATGCATTTTCCCTGCCTCTAATACATCTTCTTGTAGATGAA